AAAATTCACTACATTGGCTACAGTACACGCTTCGATGAGTGGAGACCCTTCGGGGTTCTGTCCTCGTGTACCGGTTCACAAGAGCCAATACAAAAGACCAAACAATACACAATAGCTAACCGATAACTCCTAAACAAAGAAAGAACAATGGTAATTCCCTTGTGAACCGGTACACCAGGACAGAACCCCCTTCGGGGACGGTGAAGCATCTGAATATTTTCCTTCGAAATTGTATAGATTAGTAGGCTGCAACAAAAATTTATTGGACGACGTTTAGGGTAAAAACAGCAATCTAACCTGAAAAAAATGTATTTATTCCGACTCTTTCGGAAAATAACTTTACAAATCTTACTTGTTTATCTCGTAAGTAAACGATGGTGAAGCGCTTTCCGAGCTACCCGATTCTTCTCCCACTGCTTTCACGCTTATAAAACAGGAAACGAGCAAAAGGAGGAAGGTGTGGCTGTTTTGACTAGCCATTTGACGAGGTTCAATCTGCTCCTTGTTCGACAATTTACATATCAAAACAAAGGAAATTTGTTCCTCTCTTTGATTTTGGCGGTACATTTTCAATTTGCGCTTGCGTAAGAGAGAAATCGCCCAAGACTCCTTGCTCGGTCTTGTTTTGACCACGAACGCCTTCTTAATTTTGACGGACCCGCTCGAGAAATGGTGAAAATGACGAGAGAAAAACTTTACTTTGTAGTACGAAAATACACAAAATGGAAACCCATTTTGATAGCATGTTAAGATGACAATGATGATATCAAGTTCACCGTGATCTATTCATTTCACATCTCCACACTGGCATAAAATTACAATTTCAATAATAAGAAAACTTTAACAATTCTGGTACTTTAAATCATACGATACTATCACGCACTTGCCTGTTCATTGAACTCTTTTATGTTTAAGTTATGTCTCTGATTACTGTTCCTGAAATCTATTATGGTGACATTATATCTCTATTGAACTTTCTGAAATAAAACTTCCAGGTCAAATTGTAAATCTCATTGGGTTAAAATTATTAGCAATGTTAATGTAATGTTACTTCAGAGTACTACTAAACATATGATTGACTAAAATATTGCTTCTGTTCTGATCTTGTTATGCACTTATCTTTTTTCAATAAACTCTTCTATTCGCAACCCAATATCCACCTACCTCAACAGGATTTTTCCGTGTTCTTTTTTTTATTGAAAATATAGTCCGGTAATCCCAAATACAATAATTATAGTAAATGGTTTGGTCTCAAACAATTGAAACGAGAACCTTGTGTGGAAAATGGAAGCCTACGTTCAGCATTGTGTTGCTTTACATGTAAGTATTGTCCAAGATTAGTCATACATTCAAACCAACTCAAGCTCCCGATGGCTTCTAGTGTAGATTTCATCATTTCCCGAATGTCCCTGCCCCTCTGCAAGGTTTTTTCCTTGTGTACTGGTGCCCAAAATGCCGAAAATATTAGTATGAAACGCTTCCCTAGAGTTAATTTCACATCACTTGCCTTGGAAGAGACAATTAACCTACAAACTTCAGAACTCAATTCCACTTCGTCACACAAACAAAATCGTGACTTAACCGATCAGGCCACTTTGGGAGATGATGCTGACGGTTTTTTAAGTTCCCAAAATCCTCAGGTTACATGTGCAAACTTTGTTGTCAAAATGAAACCTCCATAACAAAGTTTGGCCACTAATCCTCAACTTGAAAATGAACATTTCAGGACTATTGTATGCTAGTTATCCTGTTTTATTGATGAAAAGGAAAAATTTC